ATAAACTTTAAGTACTGATCTGAATGTAGCTATGATTCAAAAGTTTCTATGTAATTATGCAGTACTAAATGATTTAATTATTGATTGCTTAATTTGAAATTGAAAATTGTGTGGCTTCATGACCATTGTAACATTAAATTAGTCTGTTTTCAAATCACAAGTTAAATTTTGTTTTATGTTTTAAGCAACGTAAGATTTTATGTAGACAGCTAAAGTAATAATAGTATAAAAAATAATTGCATTCAGATTAATTCTTCAGTGATTATGTCTATGAATTACATGACGTGTACAATCTTCGTTTTTTTAACGTACATAAACTTAAAATATCGAAAAATATACAGCGCGCGAATTTTAAATGAGAATTTCCGAAAACTTTTCGGTCACAATGTATGATAGCAGGCATTTCCGTTAGTTCTAAAATTTTGATTTATGTTTCGAGATATCTTTTACAAAAAAGTATTATCTAATTTACTAAAATACGGTACAAGGGGTATTTCTGAATCGATTAAACAAGTTACTAGAAGCAGCAAATGATTTAATCATCGATACAAATGAAAATTGTGGTCAGTTGAAATAAATTTTTTCAGAACACAGTATTTTGTTTGTTTTAAACTAAATTTTATTTAAGCAGCAAAGAATAATGTTAAAAAATAATTGCATTTCAGATAATTCTTCAGTGATTATGTCTATTATACATGACGTGTACAATCTTCTTTTTTTTACGTATAAATATTTTCTTGAGCACATCAAGACGTCGGTTTTCAACAATTGTTGCTAAATGCTTGCTGTAAGCAGATGTCACCATTTCGATACTGCTTGAAGTATCACTGGTAGTTAGTGACCTCCCTCCCGCGCTTCTCTTGTGCCCGTCTTACACGCTGGGAAGTGTTAATCTGAAACCACAGGGGTCAACACCTTTGGCTGACCTGGCCAATAGAGGTCGGCTCCTTGAAGGCAGTATCGTAGTGACTATGGTTAAAACTCGAATGACTGTATGTATTTAGTTTTTTTCTATATGGAGGTGCGGTAACCCAAAGACATGCAGAAATATTAGATAGGTCTCGCTCCGCACAAAAATGAATGCTATATCCAAACGTATAGTTTCAATTGGTAGATTTGGAATTCTTCGCAGTTCCGATGAGGCGGTTATCTGCACAATATACCGATACATTTGTGAAGAACAACATGGTGTTTAACGTTCACAGCAGTTAATCATGTTAAATAACTCTGGACATCTGTAGGTAGTTGTAAAATCTTATTGAAACGTTCAACTTCTGAAAATTTTAACATACTAGGTAAAGAAAACATTACAAAACTTTTTTGGAGTAAATATTTGCTTAAACTTTGAAGCCGTGGTTCAAAACTTCAACAAAGTGATCATTTATTGAAAGCGAAACGGATGTGCTCGCTATCGCACAATATCAAAGCCAGTGGTATTCATCTTCCTGTGACCATCCGGATATTTAATTTTTTAATGCCCTCTTGAAGCTTATTTCATACACGAATTGGTAAATTGAAAAAGTATTTTTATCGAAGTCGACGATAATTAACTCTTAGTTCCTTTCGTGCAATCACAATAGCTCCATTTCTATATTGAGATTGGATTAGTTTTTGAAGATCGGTAGAACCTTTTCTTTGGCTCATTTGTTTTTAAACTCGTTTTAGAGTTCATTTGCATTTGCTTGAGTTATCTGCATTTTGTTGTTGTCGATATGTTCAGTTAATTCCAGCCTTAACATTTCAAATTAGTTACATTGCAGATGCAATTATTTTATTATTACCGCCATAGCGTAGTACACAACTTTCAGATTCGCTATAATGTGCTCAGGTTCAAGACTTGGAAGATTTATTTACTTTAAGAGATTAAAAGACTATTATGATTTTCCCTTTAAATACTTATGTATATTCATTTATATATAAACTATTACGCTTTCGTTCCATTAAAAATAAAAAATAAAATAATATTCAATATATGTATCCAAAAATGGATAAATGGTAGGATTAAGAGTAAATATTTAATGTAATAAAAATTGAATGTATGCACAATTGATTATAGACATAAAACATATTTCATTTTATAAATTTAATAAAAATAGAATATTAAATAAATTAATAATTTAACAATATTTTTTTGTATTTAAATCTGCAAATTATGGTAATTGTTTTTGAAAATTTATTATTACATGCTGGTATTAATTTTTTATGAGTAAAATAGGAAGAAACTATATAAACATTGTTTCATAAAAAATTATAAAATTTATTTATTTTTTAAATCAAGCTAAATATCCATTGTGAAAAAAATACATAAAATATATCATATCAATTTTAAAACTATTGCTCATGATACGAGATTCAAATTTATTACTCATTTTTCATGCACGCCACTGCTGCAATATTGCAATCTCAGTAAAATAAAAATTTTTTTATTTAATAAAATTTACCAAAAATAATATTTTAAATAAAAAATTAAAAATTAAAAACGCTTTCTTCGTTGAAGCGTGCAAATTTGATTCACTTTTGCAGAGCGCCTCTATTGCATTGTTTGGCGCTCGTGTAGATATTTATCATTATAATTCGCATGATACAAGTATTTCGATTTGAAAGATTATACCCAGATATGCATTAAGATACAAATATTTATAGATATGATAACTTACACGTAATGTTGTATTTATAGAAAATTAAAAATTTTCAATTTTCAGAAAACTATTTTCTTCCCGACATGCAATGAGGTGGCAATACGCACGGTCATACACTCACTCAAATGTTTATCGTGCAATTGTGTATATTTTATAAGATGGGTCAGTCATATTATAGTCAGTAATTCCGGCTTATCGATATGAGCTATAAATACTTACTTATTCAGAATATCATTGTGAAACTAGAAGAGGCAGCCAACATATTGTTGGAAAGAGATAGTTAAGCATATTTGTTTCATTTTGTGTGTATAAACAAATCAATAATATATTTCACAAAAATATTTTGAACACTTATTTTATTAATAAGAGTATATAGAAAATTATGTATTTCTTCCATCAATATTTTATTGATTCATTCTCTTTTAATACATGCTCCCCAAATAATCATTGCTGGACAAACGGAACACACATTTCGTTAGTACCCTTACAAGGTGTGACAGAAAATTACATTTCTATCACGAACCCATTGATTCCACAACACAGAAACATATCTTTCGCAAAGCCTCCGTTCGCGTCGTACGCTAGGTCTCCCAGACATCATCGCAAACTTTCCACTGTTCTTATCAAAAAAATTTATTGTAGGACTGAATCTGGAATCCGGCGAGCGAAACCATGATGAAAAAGGTTCGTTGTACAATCTAAATCATTTGATTATAAAGTTTATAACAATTATTCAGTATATATCACTAGGTGGTTGCTTATCCTTTAATAAAGTATCTTCCTCTTAAGCCCTTGGCCAAATTTCTAAATACAAAATATTCATAATAAACTGCATTGGACAAATATATTGAATTAAATAGCACTTCACTCTAAAACCAGTGAAATTTTTAAAAACAAAGTTGAAGAAGGTAAATTGAAACCATTCTTAAAGAAATGTTAAATAATAAAATGGACGAGAAGAAATTTCTGTTATTATTCCCAAAGGTTTATATATAAATGGATTTATCATACTATTTAATCAAACGTAAAATACATACACTAGATACGAGGGCGGTTTGAAAAGACAGTGACTTTTTAATAAGACAAATTTTTTTCGGCAAATAAACATTTTATTTTTCTATATAATCACCTTTTAGCTCGATACATTTAGTCCAGCGTTTTTCAAATTTTCTTGTTCCCTCCAAATAATAGGTTTTCTCAAAGCTCTCAAAATACCCGTTTGTTTCGGAAATAACTTCTTCATTCGACTCAAATCTCTTACCGCCCAGCCATTTCTTTAGGTTTGGAAACAGAAAATAGTCGCAGGGGGTTACATCTGGAGAATATGCTGGATGGGTAGCAGTTCGTATCCCGATTCGTGGATTTTGGCCATCTTGCTTAATCTGCACACGAAATTCACTTTTTTCCATTTTCGTAAACATTCACGAGGTTGTCTGCTTTGAACGACTATTAAACACCAACTGAAGGACGTAGCTTGCTCAAAATTAGAAAGTTGCCCACTGGTAGATTACAGCTGACGGCAGCACTGTTGCATTTGGAGTAACTGCGCGGAAAATTCAAAAAGTCACTGACTTATCAAACCGCCCTCGTATAGCCTTAGTTTTTAAAGTAATGCTATAAAGAGGTTTTCGGAAAGTAGTGAACTACAACAACAAAAATTCTTTTTTTATATTATTTTTATTATTTGAATTTTTGGCTGAGCATACAACTGTTTCGAGTAATGCCAAATACCCATCATCAGTGTTCTTGGAACATTTGTGCTATAAACGCATGTATCCCATGAACTAAACATACCGGTCAAAGGATGTAAGTACATAAAACATGCAAAACTTACGTTGCTGCATAAAGAAATTTTTCTTTACTCGCCGCCTTTGCTGTGTTACAAATAATTTTTGACCGATTTCTTTGGCTTTCGTATGTTGGCCTAAAATTATAATCACTGTGATTACTGCTGTTACCATTTATGCTGCTGCTGTTGCTCTATTATTGCGTTTAGTGTAAATATTTTGAATTTTAGTTATAGTTACTAAAAGTAGTTATTATTAATATTATTGTTGATTTTGTTGTTGCAACAAAACCAGCCGAAACGACGCGTCGTCTAACACTACTGATTTTATAGATGTATAAATATATATATATTTTTATCTATTCCATATATATAAATTTGTATTTGTGCCTGTGTTCGTATACATCTGTGCGGTAATAAGCACATTTCAAAAGCACGCATTAATTCAACACCAGCAAAACGCTTGTACCAAACTCCATTCATTTTGAACGAACGACTTACATAGATTTTTGGACGGCTTACCGATCTTACAAGCGGCCGGTTTATATAGCGCCAAAACATGTTTAGCTGAAGTCAGTTGCAGTTTTAGTCACAATCGAAACGGTCGTTTACTGAAAACAACGCGGCGTGTATTTCGGTTCGAAATAAACCACAATTAAAGTATCTTAACACAAAGTTCCTGTTCTGTTGGATTTAATAAACTTCAACTTTGCTAAAAATCAAAATATTTTAAAGGATTTTCCTTTTTACTTTGGATTACTTTTTTAAATATTAAAAGAAACTATCAAGGTGAGAATATTATGTGAAAAAAATAATTAATTGAAGTTAGAATTGAATTTAGCTATATATGTTATATTATTTGTGAATTACGAGTATAAAAAAAATATTTAAAAAATTCAGTGACGAGGATATTGATATATATTTTATATTGTGAAACAGCAAAATTTGTTTCTAAAAATCATTTTTAATGTTGTTTTTAATATATACTTTTTTATATAAGTTTTGTGAAAAATTTAAAAATGAAATGTTTTGAAATTATTCTTTCAATATATTGAATGTTATAATATTTTAATAATATTTAATTTAATATAAAAAATAATTTTGTCTTAACAGAAATATATAAAATTCATAAAATTTTAATAATTTCAATTTAAAAATTAAAAAAGTAAAATTATAAAATTACAATATATTGCAAGCCTGTAGTAAAAGAAGGATATATATTCAGCTTTTCTATAAAAGCAGTTTTTGAAAAGTAAATGATTTAGAAGATAAATTTTCCAATGTCAGTCAACGACCTATATAAAAAGAAAATAATTCACCTATTAGAAACTTTAATTTTTTTTTCATTTATCTGTTAATTCGTAATATAAAAAGTGTTAAATAAACAAAATTTAACAGCTTATGAGAAATTATTTTTTTAAAATTTAACTTATATTTTAAAAATAATTTATTTTTAACAAAATTTTTCTAAATTAACAATGAAATATAATAAGAAACTTTTTGTCATATGTATATATACAAAGTTTTTTATAATTAGAAACAGTGTCGACACAAAAATATAAAATCTTGATAGTATTAAATTTATTAAAATGTTTTTAGCTATTCTGAGTACTTAAAGGAATAAGATACATTAACATAACAAAAATGTTTTTATACTTTAAATATTATATAAATAAATATAATATAATAAATATAATAAAAATGTGAATACATAAATAATATAAATAAATATTCTTTTCTCATATAATCCTTAAATATTATTAAATATATTGTATAGTTTTCCATTATTGATATTTTTAACATCACGAAAAGTTTATATATAACACATAAGTAATTTTAGTTTATCTATATGGATGGAATAAGTTTCATTTATTTTAATTTAGTATAAAATTCTAATACTTCTAATGGATAGGTCTTTGTTTTTAAGTTAATTTGTTAGTATATAATATTTGTTAATATAATATTATAAAATGATATAACTAACATATTTAAATAATTTTGATAAACAGAAATACTACATAGTTAAGCTTTGAACTATATACGTTCAAAAATAATATACAAGGACCTTCGCAATCTTTGACATTTCTTCACGTAAAATGACTACAAAATCTTTTATAACTCAATTTTCTCTATTAATAGTAATCACAATTGTGAAGTAGTAAAGATGTTTATTGGCACCAAATTCTTTATATAAATAATATAAGTAATAAAAAAATTACTTTAATTACTAAACTTGAAATTTCCCTTTGATATGAAGATGTCATTACAACACTTAATTATTTAAATAAAAAATGGTTTTTTTAAAAAAAAAATTGTTATATTATTTTGTTATAATTATTACTCATTGAGTTTATTGACCGTATTTTTATATAACTTAAAACATTTAATGTTTTAATGCATAATGTTTATTATATCATGTATCCTTAAAAAATATTACTGTAATCCTTAAAAAAAAATATTCACATATTGTTAAAACATTTTTAACTCTATTAGAAAGTAAACTAATTTTCAAAGCTAATTTTCATGATAATAATATTATATGATTTACAAATTCAGTACTTAATAATACTCTTTGAAATTACTTCAATTAATATTAATCATAATAAATGACTTACGATTTTTATAATTTAAAATTAACAAATGATGTGTGATTATTTATTAAATAATCATACATAATTAATTAATGAATTAAATTTTGGATTTTTTGGGGAAATAGTCTTATTTAAAAAATGATTAATAATGAGTTCATGAATGTATTAATTGACAATAAGTAATAATAAACAGTGTAGTGCTTTCCTGCGAATCATATTACATAGATGATTATTAATATAACAGTTTCTTTCACTATTTTTTATACTATTATATTATATTTATACTATTTTCTTATACTAAATTCTTTTCATGATTTTTTTACATTTAATATTGTCAAGATTTTCTAATATGTGACATTGGAGTCCTTGATGATATTCTTAGAGCCATCAACATCTCTACTTAGATACTTTTATTCTAGCTGCATTTTATTTATAAAACTCAGCTTTTCTTAGAGTTTTTCTTAGAGTCTGCAATAATAAAGCAAATAAGCAATTTTTAACAGTATTTTAACGGTAATAATGTTAAAATAAATTGTTACTTAGCGTGAGAAAAAGGTTTTAAAAAAATTTTTTTTTGTTTGTTAATTTAACTTTTATTTTAAATTTAATTTTATGAGTGAAGAAAGGAAGTATTTTTTTTTTATTAAAAAAATAACTAAAAACTTTTAATGGTGACAGCTTTACTTGAGAAAACTCACACGTTACATTAAAAAATATCTACCAAAAAAGTCACAACTTCCAGTAAGTAAAACAAAATTTTATACTTACTTTTTATGCCAAAAAGAATTAACTTACAAAACTTGTGTGACACACATATTAAATAGATACACTAGAGACACAAATTATATATAAAAAATAACAGAATTTTAACATACAAGCATATCTAGGTACGCGAACTTGAAGTTTGTTGCTTAAGTCTTTTGTTTCAAATTTGTTAAATAAATAAACCAAGTTTTAACAGTTTTAACTTGAAATCATTGTGACACCGTATGTTGAGACTTTCATGCTATTTCAATAAAAATAATATGTGAATAAAAATAAAATGGTTTTGAGATAAGATATTAAAAACAAAAATCAACAAAGTTGAACTTGAAAGTTAATTTTATTTTTTAGTAATATTTTTTTTTAAATACTCGTTTATATATTAGTAATAATATACTTAAACATATATTTGTATTTCTACTAGGTTTTAGGTTCAAATTTTGAAATGATAGAAAATCATTTACCAGAGTTCTTGTAATTGTTTTTTGTCTTTCAACTTCACATAAAACTACGGCGACTTTACAAATATAAAATAGTTATATAAACTAATTTTTAAAAGTTTGTTTGAAGTATCTGTTTGAAAGCAAAAAAAATAAATTTAATACTCAAACCTTTTCCTATGTGTTTATATGCTAAAAATGTTGTTGGCACTAAAAGATGCTGATATATCCAAATTCAATTAAATGCAGAGTAAAATGTTCACGTATATTATCCGCCCATATCTTGCATTTACTTAGCAACAGGTCTAGTACCACCATATTTTTTTTATTCAATTGACTGAAGTTCTGTATCAAAGAATATTTTAAGACTTATCAATAGTTTTAGTTTATCCGTACTAGCTAAAAATACAAAAAAATAAATAGACCTATATATTGCTGTACTTATTACTCATAGGAATACAATAGGGTAATAGATCATATATATAGTTTCAAGATGGCTTCTCTAAGGCCATCACGAAGTTCTACAATTAATCGATACAATAGAAAATTATAGATATTTTGTAGAATTTGATATAATTTTCTAAATAGTATAGTGTACTATAATATTAAATATCAAAGTGTTGTATGATCAATTGTCAACTAAACAGATTATTACAAACTCTTACCAAAAGAAAAGGCTGTGCAAAAGAACCTTTCCTTTGATAGTTTGAGAATTCAATAAATTTTGAAGCAAAACAATTTTTAACCATTTTTTGTATTTGGTAAATACTAATACAAAATCAATAAATAATTATATATTATATTCAGTATTCTTATTTTCAAACTCAAAAATCTCAGTTAACTGTATTTAACAGTAATTGTTCAAGTTTGACATTAGTTTCTCTATCTTGTATATTAAAATTTAATTTCGGAAAAATATTAGAGTTCCAAAAAGTTTTTTCCAACCGACATGCTTTTCGTAATTTTCAATTCTTTGAATGCCAAGATATTTTTGACGGTCAATATGATTCTTTTCAAAAAGTAGGCTGAATTTTCATAGCAATACTGTTGAAAATTTTATTATTTTAAAACATGAAAACTTTACTTAGTCAAATTAAATCTACTTTTTTAAATCAATAAAATTTGATCTTATGTTTCTATTAAGAGATAATAAAAACTAAAGTTTGTAATACCCAACTTCACCAAACACCAATTTATAATTTTTTTTGTAAATTCCATTATTTCCGGAAATTTGGTCTGCTGTGTTGTGCTCCCCTATTTTAAATATTTAATTTGGAAAATTTAATTTATAATCACGGAACTCAGAAATTCAATTTAAACTTTAATTTTAATTTAAAGTAAATTAAAATTTAATAAAAGCAATCGTCGAACTTTTATTTATATGTTAACTTTACTGTTACTTATTTCCGGCAAAATATTCAAACGCTAATTCACTGCCGATACTTTTGAATGCCTCTAATAGAAACCAACATTCATTTTTGGTCTCATGATTTCTTATATATGTGTACAACTATAGCTATGTTATTAAATATATATTGCTCTAAGATTTATGGCATATATGTTGCATATATTTTGTTTGTAAACTTTCAAAGCAGTTATTGCATTTTCCAGATTTGCTTGTAAGAAACGTAATAGTTTATCAGACTGTTTATCTAATCTAAAGTTCTTTTTAGGTAATTACTGATAATGATAGTCTTTAATTCATTACTGTATTAATTAATTATAAATAAATATAAATAACAATTTTAAATGAATTAAATAATAACTATTATATAATATAAAAAATATATCAAACAAATCTAAATCCAGCATCTGAAGTTAGTATTTTTATTTTCTTTAATGAAACCTCACTGTATTTTTTAATTTTAAATAAATATAAATAAAAATTTTAAATGAATTCTTTAATAAAATCTCACTGTATTTTTTAATTATAAATAAATATAAATAAAAGTGAATAATTACATGACATACAAAAACTATCAACTAAATTTAACAT